CCTTCCTAGGAATCCATATAACCTAGGAATCCCAATCCTTTTAGAACTTGTGCTATCTTACCATACCCCTTTTCCTTTGAAAACAAATCTAATTCTCCTAGGATTCATAGAATCCGAGAAGATTTAGTTACCCACCTCAAACCTTCTAGTGCTTACAAAAAACCAAAACACAAGCGGCCCATGGGCCCCACATGTGGGCTCAACATGACACCTATTGAAGTGGGTCCCCATGTGCCCCAATGTGGCCTCATTCGTGGACCTCACATATCTGTTTAAAAGGCGAACGTGACAAAAATAATCATCCCCTTTTAAGTTCCAAATTTTGTTCCCTTAACAAAAAAAATTATAATTTCAAGAAAGTCCTTTCTTTAATATTTTCCTGAAAAAATATGATTGAGGTGATTAAAAATAATTTCCTTTTCATTTAAAACCATGAAAAAAATATGAAATATATCATTGGAGGATTGAGCATGCCTTGGGAAAAAATAATTCCTTTTGTGTTAGGCATTCCGAGATAACACTCAAATCAATATGTACCTGTAAACTAACCCAATGAAACCATGACCCTCAAGTACTCTCGTGCTAGGGACTCTTGATTAGTCCCTCAAAGCCAGCCAAGAAGCAGATAAGATCACAAGTTCACCTGGGATTGCAAGTGTGCTGGGACAAGTCATATCCAGCTGATGAATGTCAGCACTGACTTTTATCTACTTATTTGAGGTATCATTATAAGTAACAATGGCCATTCTCTAACACATACGCATGCCATCCAAAATCCATGGTTGAATTGTCGAAGTTAAGGCCCTTGTCCTTACACGCCCAAGTCTTCACACCGTAGTCTATACATCTACTATTGATAAACTTTAACTACCACTAGACTCAACAGACCTCAATGAGGTGTCCATGAACCCACACTAGCAAATGCATCTTGGGATTAACCGGAACCAGTCTCGTGGTGCGGATCTGACTCCACAAGCCTTGGACTTTTAACCACAAAAGAAGGCTAGAGTCCTATAGTTCACTAGCACATGCTGCCATCATTCTCTAAATCTCATATACTGCTGACCAAGCCTGTCTCCATGACATGTCATAAACCACTCTAAAGCACATAAAGCCCAAACGTCCCACTAAAACCAGGAATTGAATAAAGGATGAGTACTCATATGTATAATTTTTTTTCAGTCTACAATGAACAATCCAGAGCTAATATGGCTTTTAAATGGCCAGGAATCCCAACATAGGTGACCAAAAATCAGTTCAATCGAAAAAGGAGTCTAGGGACAATTGTTCACGTGGAGTGAAGAATGGGACCTCTGGGCCCCTTGGGTATACCATCTCCATGAAGGAATACATGGGAATGGTATAGGTGGTGGAGAAATGTAGGGGTGGGCATGAGCGATTGGTTTTTGTGGACAAGAAAAGGTGTCAAAAAGGTGTGGTAGCTGTTGTGAGAGAGAGGAAGAGGGTTGGGGGGTGCACCCGTGATGGGGAAAGAAGAGGTTGGTGCCATCAAAGATGAGGACAATTGACTTTGTTGAGCTTCCGAGGTCAGCGGATGAAGGGTTAGAGGAAAATACCAGAGAGAGAAGAGTGAGATATAAGTTGTAAGAGGAAACTGAAAAGTTGATGGGGTTGGATTGTAATGGGTTAAAGCCTAAATTGGAGATTCAACGTTGTGGACATGGATGCAATGCATGGCCTCATCTAGGAATTGAAGTCTATCCTCCTTTGGATTTTGACTGGTGGGGCAATGTTTGCTCACTTGTCAAATGTCAGATTCTCTTATCTTTAGTTTTATCTTTGGAAAATGGGGATTAGTAGACGGTTCATTCTCGCGTGGCCACATTGCCGTTCAATAAGGCTACATCCTCTATTAGCGAGATAGAAGCGGGTTGTGTCTGGCGATCCTAGGTCTGTCTCCATGCAAGTCTTTATGATACCTGCTGACATACTATATTTATAACCGGCTGGTGGGATCTCTATGTTGTGGCCAACTCGGGATGGGATTGCAATTTTATTGCATGAGGTGGGCATTGTTGAGGGTGTTAATGACACGCTGTGGATAGTAAGAATGTCCGGCGAGGTAATAGGGTAAGGGTGGTGAGTTTTGTGGGTTAGTGCATGTAGGTTGGAGGGGGGACTGATGGTAGGGATGGTTTGGGGTGACATGGTTTGGGTGGACTGGGTGTTCACATATGAGGCTAAGGTAGTAGTGTCATGATAGGGTTAGTGTATGTGGTTGGATTGGTTGGGAGAAGGTTGCCGGGGTGGGGAATGGGTAGGTCTAAGGACTAGCGAGGTCCGGTTGTGTGGTTAGGTCAAGTGGCACATGTGGGGAGAAAATTAGTTTATACTGCTTGTCATAACTGCATAGATTGAGTAAGAGAGAGCTAGGATAAACTATGGGGGGAGTGAGGTTAGATGCAAGCTCATATTGGACACATTGGTTCGATTTAGAGGTGTGGGAAGGGCTAAGGAGATTGGAATGGGTTGGGACCACCCTGAAGTTGGAATTTATATTAGAATTCTTGGGCTGGAGCCTCATTGTTGACATGTCTAATTTGTACTTGTATCTGCTCTAGTGATCAACTATGGCTGCCATCTGTTAGCTGTCTAGGGCATTCACTTGATTCATTGCAACGGTCTATGGTGCTTGGGTTATTGCCTCCAGAGTTTTGTGGTCCATGACTCTTGTGCCTTTCCTTCTTTGCCCTCTGCGCTCCTATTTTGGTATTCCTTCCCTGGAGATCCTTCTGTTAAGGTCCTCAATCTCTTGCTGGACGTCGTTCTTCATTGTGGGAAATGATGATCGCATAGGTTCTTCATTGCATGGTTAGGATGATATATTTTCCCACTAGTGATGGGTGGGTGGCTTCAATAAGCATGTGAAATGAGCCCATTAGGATTGTCTTGAAAATTTTCAATGGGTTTTAAGGAAACTTCCGCAGAGATCACCGGTTTGTCTATAAGTTTCCTCTACAAGGTTCCTTTATTAGGGCTTCTCATGCATGGTTTTTTGTTGGAAGGAGATGAAGTATCCTCCCTTGAGAAGGGCATGCTGGTTATACTAATCGGAATCTTCTAACCTAAGGGTCGATTCCGCTCGAGAATCTCCCTCCTACACTCTAAGGAAGGGAATCTTACTTCTCCATGATTATTAAACTTTTGGAATCTAGGTCTGTCCTATTAGGGATCAAGATACTAAGTTACAAGGTATCCAAATTCCATAGCAATGTAGTACAGTATAACGGTAATACGGTGTAGCAGTGTGGTATAGTATAATAGTATAGCATTGCAAGTATAGTTTAATCTAGCAATGTGGTATTTTATAGTAGTATATACTATATATATATATATATATATATATATATATTGTAAATTTAAATGTAAGACCATGGACTCTTGAATATGGTATAGCGGAGTATTGCAGTATAGTATGGCAGTGTATTATTGTATTGCAATATAGCAGTATGTACTTTATTACTATGTTAGTTAAGTTTCTTCAGGGGCCCAAATTTTTAACCAGATGGAGCTTGGTCTTGTATAATTTATCATTCAATTGCGATTAACTTTGGATTGAGCTACCCCACATATTGTTAAAGGGATCCTTAGATTTTAGGGTGTGTGGACAACTATCCCTACAATTGGGAGGAGCTTCCTACTTGTCACGATCCTGTGGTCCACATCTTGATCCAGATCTGATTCGATCCCGATCCCTGTAACCATGACGTAGCTCAAAGATGGTGAATTCCGGGGAGATATCATCCACCTCTCTGTACCCTTTACGTCATGTCTCTGTGGGTAGAGATCTCTCTATGCCCTTTACATCATGTCCTTGTGGGTAGAGAAAGCCTCCTAGACAAGTTTGCTGGGTGAGATTTCATTTGGAGTAGAGGTTTCCCTGAAGATAAATATGCCATGTTCCAGGATTGTTGGATATCAGTATTTTGTTAAAGGTGTGTTGAGGTTGGTAGAGTGGTTCAGGTTGGCTCTTGTTTTGAGTAGCAAGTTGGGTTATGGTTTTAAGGGTGATTTGAATATATCTTTTAGTTAGTACATTCTGCTGTTGATGGGGTTAACCTGATCTCTACTAAGTAGATGGGCATAATTATGATATAGGGATGGTAAGGACAGCACTCATGACTGCCCTTAGCAGCAGCCTTGGATGACTACGGATTCCTCCATTGAGGACATGAAGGGTGCGTGGTTGAAGTATGTTGAGGAAGGCAGGCGACCTCTCTCTCTCTGGATAAAGAGGATGCAAGGAACAGTTGGCAATGAAAGTCTATGGTCGACCAATTTAGGTGGAATAAAATGCTTGGTTGCGGAGGTAGATGGAGGATCATTCATGGAATGGTTACTGACAGTTCAAATGACAAGAAGATACCGAGACATAAATTTGGAAGAGATGGTGGAAGAGGGGTTGCTGGCCCTTGGGTGCAAAGGCAAAAAGGAGGTTGCTTGCAAGACTAACAAAGGTCGGCCTCAGTGATCTGCTGTTGCTGAATGGAAAGGTTGTCACTAAATGGCTAGAAGTTCCATAGCACTTGAAGCCCTTGATCAATGTCTTCTAGATTTGATGCGAGGTAGATCTTGAAGGATGCATTACAAAATAGTTATGTGCATGTGCTTGCAGTGTACTTCATAGTCATTGTTCATTGCAGCGAGGGAAATATTGCTGAGTTTCCTCCGGAGTCCCAGAGTTGTCTCCAATCGGTTCCCTGACGAGTCTAGAGGCAAACCTTGACACTCACCATGAGCCTCACCTTATTTTGAATTTCTTTGTAATTTTTTAACAAACTCAGCCAAGTCTTGTTCTGACACAGTTGAGTCAAATTCGGTGACTACACTGGGGACCCTAGCAGAAAAATGTTTGCAATTAATATGAACTTTGAGATGTTTATATTCCATTTCAAATTTGTTCTCTTATTCACATGATTTCTTAATTTGAAGTTCTGTTTTTCTTGAGTTCATAAAGTTTTATGTTGATTTATGTTCAGGGGCCTCATCCTTGGGCTGCAACAGAGCTAATAAAGATTAATGGTGCCCTTGATGCAATTATTCGCCACATGAAAAAAGCGTGAGTGGAAGCATTGTTGTCTTTCAATGTATTTCATTGGCATATTATTTTTCCTTGGCAGTTCCTAAATAATATCTGTTATGCCACCATCCAATTTATGTCTCTTGTCAACAGAAGTTTTTTCATTTTGAGTCTAGCTAAATAAGCATTTTCACTTCTATCTTCCTTTGTACTGTGGTTCATAGTTCTACTTGATTTTTCTCATTGTAAAGTGGAATGTGCATTCCCTTACAATCTCCACAACTGAAGTTTGAATCAACAAGTGATGGTTCTTTCATCAGTGAAATTCTTGAGTTTGTTTAGTACCATTCTACTAGAAAAACATCTAGTTTCCTATATTTTCAGCAATTTAAGCTACTTTGATTGCTGATTTGCAAATATTGTTCAACAATCAGCTGTGACAAACCATCCGGTTTGCAAGAATGCAATATATTTTCTATTTGGAAATATTATTTCGGCTGGCTAAACTGGACTATTCCTGTCGGTCTATGGGCTTTTCTAAATCGTTGTTTGACTCGGTCAAAATATTTTCATGGTCTGTTGTCTTCACTGCTTGAAGGTTAAGAGAAACATCAATTCGTAAGTGTAACATTGATCGGACCCAGGTTTTTACTGAAAGAAAAGTGAGATCTTACCCTTTTGGCCAGTATGTTTAGCATCTTGGCACTTTTCTTCTCCACTAAATGGAACTGATTTGTGCCTACAAGATCTCTCTCTCATTGTAATATTTCTTTCTAACAAATTTCTCTGCTGTTACACGAGCGGTTTCTATGGATGATCGGTATTTGAGGCTCGGTATTTGTAATTTTTCTACACTACGATTGCAGTTTTTATATATGATGCCAAATTTGCGGTTATTAATTCCTTCTTTCATGAATCAATGTGTCTACATGAGCTAGTTAGCTAGAGATGTGTCTTGTATCTGAATGAATATGCTTCGCTTTTCTTTATGCCTATATTACATAATTGGAGTTTACACAACAGGGATGATGAGCTGGCTACTGAAGTGGCATGGGTGGTTGTTTATCTTACTGCTCTTTCAAACTCTGCTACTAGCTTGTTGGTAAACAGTGATCTTGTTCAGCTTCTTGTGGGAAGGCTAGCAGCTTCAGAATGTTTACAATTGCTCATCCCGGTAATAGAGGCACAAACTCACATCAGTTTCGTTCTGAATCTGAATTTATTCTGCAGTCTTTCCTTGTCATTCTCTTATTTATTAAGCAGTTAACGCTACATGAATGATGTACTGAGATTTTTTGTTTGATGAATTTATGAATTTCATATACAATAAGATGTTGAAAGGTTATCGACATCAGTAATGACACCACACACCTTTAAAATGAAACCTGAGGATTTCTATTTGTATATAACTTATGCATTCTCCACGCTCTATTTGGAATTAGAGAGGAATTGCCTTTGACATGCTCTATTTTTCTCATCTGGCCATAATGAAGATCTCAACTGCACCGTCATGACCTCAGTCTTTCCAACCTTTCCAGTTTTGGCAAATCTTTCTGGAGCATGTTCTTCTCTATGAAGCACAAGACTGTTGCCTAATTTTCCTTTGGCCTCAGAATAACAATTGTTGGGTTCATCCTTTCAACTTGTACCTCTCTATATTTGCTCTCTAGTTGTTTTGGAAAGTCGATCACGAAAGGTTAGTCATTTGCAACCTAGGCAGTCAATATATGAGGTACATAAATGAGTTCATGCTTGGTTGCAAAAGTTGGTGGTAATGTAGACACAGCATTCAACATGCCACCCAATTCTTAAGTTTTTTAAATGCACTTGCTATGTGAAATGGTGAGTAACATCCTATCAGTTTCTTATTTGTCGTGATAATGTAGTGACTTAGTTCCATGTGATCACCTTTTCCCATTTAATGATATCTTTCAGTTTCAGATTTTAGGACATCCAGTAGAATATCTGAAATTGTTATGAAGTTTGAGATCTGCTTGTTTTATTTCTTGTTTTCTCTTGCTAAATTGGTACTTCTCTCTTTTGATGATCATACCTCCCCTTTGATGGGGGGAGAAAAGGAATAGGAAAAAGAAAACCTCCAGCCATGATGTTTGTTGAAGCATACATTGCTTTTTCGTTTTTGACTAAGTTGAGCAATTAATTTCTGATTGATTGGAATAATTAGGATACATGCATTTAATTTTAAAAAATAAATATTTTCTTTTAAACTTTGGATACATCCTTGTACGCGGAACATATCCTTTCCCCTCTATAGGAAATGGTTCTGCAACTTGATGTCCGATTTATGCAAATGTTAGCTAGATCTTTTGCATGTTGATTGTGATTTCTCTTGAATGTCAGTTGCTGCTTTCTTTAGAATTGATCTCAAACTTATAGGTGATTCTTTTATGAGATAAATTTTCGTATATGATAAGTCAGTTAATATCGGGGTAACTATGTTTTTTATGTCCAGGTCTTGCGAAGTATTGGCAATCTTGTAGCTTGTGACAGTCATGTGGCTGATGAAGTCCTCGCTGCAGGATATGGTACCACAGGTGTTATCTAGTTATTGCTACTTCTTAGTTCATTGTTGACGACTCACGAAATTTCCGGCCTCTTTTTTTATTTTATCAAAATTAGTGTTGAATGCTTCAGATAATGTCATGGGTGCGCTAGTGAAATGTTTGAGTAGTGACCATCGGGTTTTGAAGAAGGTAACTTGGAAGCTCCATTTAACCATTTTTTTCTCACAATATTCCAACTATTTTGTCATTTACAAGATCTTCACTGGGTATAGGAGGCGGCTTGGGTGTTATCAAATATTGCTGCTGGCTCTTTAGCACACAAGCAGTTGATATATTTTTCCGATGCTCTTCCTTTGTTGCTCCATCTTTTGTCAACTGCGCCATTTGATATAAGAAAGGAAGTGGCTTATGCACTGGGGAATGTCTGTGTTGTTCAAAGTGAAGGTTCTCATCAACCAAACCTTATTCTGGACCACCTTGTTTCGCTTGTTGACAGGGGCTGCCTTCCAGGATTTATCAGTTTGGTTAGATCTCCTGATCTTGAAGCAGCAAGACTTGGATTGCAATTCTTGGAAATGGTAAGTTAATTCTGTTCTCATTCTTTCTGTGCTCATATAGGAACCATGATTTGTTTCTCCATGGTGTTAAGGATCAAATATTTAAAAAAGAGAGAGAGAGAGAGAGAGAGAGAGAGAGAGAGAGAGAGAGAGAGAGAGAGAGAGGAGGTGTAGTCGGTACGGTCGTACGTCGTCGTCGTCGTACGTCGTACGTCGTACGTACGTACGTACGTACGTACGTACGTACGTACTACGTAC